TGGGATGGCTGCACATCATCCAAGCCTTCCATCAGTTGAATATCGAAATTCCCGTCAATTTTAAGGTACGGTATGTCTGTCTAATCACTGGTATTGACATTGAAGTGATATTTACTGTATTATGTGTGAAGTCTTATCGCTTGTTATCATTTGATTTGTTAATTGAATTATTTTATTATTTGATGCCTTAATGTCATATCTAAATGTCATATCTAAATGTTATTTAATTTTTATATAATGTTATCATAAATTACTTTGTTCAGGTTTGTATGATACGATACTTACAGTAGTTAGCATTATGCCGGTAATGAACTTATTTTACTGTACCGGTAAGGACTTTACTTTTATTACATGAAATATAATTTTTTGCAACAAATCTAAACATTTCTGACTATGGTATTAGATTTGTTAAAAATATTAATTTGAGATGTATTTTATTTTTACATTGATACAATGTATTACGGCAGTAATTTAAAATGCAATTCACAGTCATATCTTCCAGTATTTCATATATTTCTCTGAAATGTTAATTTAGGTTTCAATTTCAAAAGATAACAATTCATTTCAAAGTCTATGAACTTTTCCAGTATTGGGTTACTACTAGTAATACTTCAAATATAATTAAATTAATATTTCATTAGACATCACAACTCAACAAATTTAAGAATTTATATATCATGCCTGTGCTCCATTAGCTTGATTAAATTAATAATAATTAATCACAAAACTATGTCACTGTTTAATGCATACCAGACCTACTGTATACATAAAAATCATTAATTATGTATTCATTGATACAATTCTGCATTTTCTGAATCAATTACAGTTTGTTTTCGAGGGAATGGAAGAATCGGGTTCTGAAGGACTCGACGATGTGATCATAGCTGAAGCCAATGGTTTCCTTAAGAATGTTGACTTTGTATGCATTAGTGATAACTATTGGTTGGGAACTGAGAAGCCGTGTCTCACATACGGCTTGAGAGGTCTCTCCTATTTCTATGCGGAGATTGAGTGCGCGGCCAAAGACCTGCATTCAGGGGTTTACGGCGGATCCGTTCACGAGGCGATGACTGATTTGGTGCTTCTTATGTCCAAATTAGTCGATAATAAGGGAAAGATTTTAGTACCCGGAGTCATGGACGACGTGGCGCCCCTCACCACTCATGAGGAGGGCCTCTACCATAAGATTGAGTTCGATTGCAATGAGTTCCGCGACGAAGTGGGCACTCAAAGACTCATCCATTGCGATAAAGTCAAAACTCTGACCCATCGCTGGAGATATCCATCCCTTT